AGAAAATAGAAACAATGCCGATGCTTGATTCACAACCCTATTGCTGATGATTTCATTGCATCCTTGGTGCTGGGATTGTAAAAAATTCTTCAGGGTATTTTTATGGGTAGTCTAGGGTAAAAAGCCATTGCCGTAGACCGAATTAAATTTATATGAAAACATACTGCCTTACACAGAAGCCTAAAGTTTTATTTAGGTCAGTAAATATTCATTGAGTGCCTCCTACATAGTCCATGTCAACAGGCAACTAAAATCTAGTGCAGCTAACAGTGGACTAGTAGTGAAAGGGGAGGGGTCAAGCAGCTGTATACAGAGATTGTGTTTTACATAAAACACTACACAAAGTAATCCTTTACTCTAAACATAAGAAACATACTGAACGTTTTCCAAGAAAGTAGATGGGGTAGGAGGATCAGAAATGATTTCATGTTAGTATTTGAAATTGACTTTAAGGGACAGATAAGATTTCCATAGGTGGAAGACGTGCTCCCAGAAGAAGGAAGAGTGGTAGGGGGCTGGAAGAGCAAGGTGGGCATTAAATTCTCTGCCTTGCTGGATGAGCTGTCTGAGCAGGAGATGAAGAGTTTTGGGGTCATATGGTGGTGAGCCTTGAATACTAGAGGCTGAGCCACTGGCAGTTGAGTTTGCTCCGGGTAGTGACTAGGAGATTGAAAAATGGAATGCTTTTTGAAGCAGTACCTCACGAGTGATGAACTGGCAGCGAGATTTGACAGGCTTTGAGAGAGGAAAAAACCCAGCCAAATCCAACCCAAAACAGCAAGAGTAGAGGCAGGAAGACTAGTTAGAAGGGATGAAGTCAGAAATACTGAGGAACGTTAAGAAAGTGTTGAAAGTCTGAACTGGGCCATCACAGGGCTGTGGAAAGGAAGGTCTCTAAGAGGGAAAGAAGAGTCACCGTCAACAATACTTACTTGACTGATCAAAGAGTTTGTTGGCGGTTCAGGTTCATCCGAAGGTGCCTTGGAAGAAAGGTAAGGTAATGTGCTTCTGAGTGATTACAGCTGCTGAAGAGCCTGTGGAGAACAGCTCTCCTTTGACACTCGTGAGGTCACCAGGAGTTGGAATCAACTCCATGAACACTGATTTTTATTGATTTATTGAATAAATGTAAAAGTTAAAAAAAAAAAAGAAAGAAAAGTCTTAAACAGTCTTTCTTTGTGCAACTTGGAATGTGATCATGTCATCAACTGAAGTCATTAAACTAAGTTGAAGAACAGTTTACAAAGGGGAAGATGATGAATCTAATTTTAGGCATATTGAATCCAAACACATCAGGTACAATTAAAATTTCTTAAATGAGTCTCCTTTCCTGCAATTGAGTAAAGTAGGACACTGATTCCGTTTAGGTCTGTTGACATTGGCTCAGTTTTGACCGCTAGTGACTCCACAGGCTTTCCAGTGCTGTAGTCTATACAGAATTGGACTGCTACATATTTCTCCTGCAGAGTAACTGGTGATTCCTTGTACACAGTATTTTTCAACAGCGTGGGATTCTGCCTCCCAAGGAAACAAATGATTAAGGATCTCTTTTGTTGCCATAATTTGAGGAGGAGGTGCCACCCGTATTTAGTGAGTAGAGACTGGGAACGCTTCCAGATATCTCACAATACTCACGACAGCTTTCTGTAACAAAGGGTTAGCAATAGAATTGTTGAGAAGATGCCTTCCCTTAATCTGGAATCCAGTAACATGAAATTTCAGTTTGGGGTTTACATAGTATTAGAGGCTCAACAGCGACACTTAGTGGCCAAATGTAAGATATAGTTTAGTTCTCTTGAATATTAAAAGAATAATAAATTTCAGAAAGCTGAGACTGATGACTTAGTGGCAAGAAGCTGCGCTGCAATCCTGAAAGCTAGCAGTTCAAATCCACCTGCTTCTCCGCTAGAGAAGGATGGGCAATCTCCTCCCGTGCAGTTAACTGCCTCTGAAAACCCACTGGAGGGTCAGTTATGGGTAGGTTTCGACTATGGTACGTAACAACAAGGAGGTACAGAGGTGAGAAATAGAGTCATGCAAAATTCACTAGTATTTACATACAAAGATGTGGTGTATAGGTCGAGTATACAACATGGAGAAGAAATCTTGGAGTAATAAAATGCTATTTGGTTATATGAGTTTTCTTACTAGAAATAAAGAAGCAGTTTTTGATAAAATGTATTCTGTGTAGAACACATTATTTCCCATTTAAGTGGCTTATATTTTGCTATTATTTATACATATATAAAAAAGGAACAATTTAATAATTCTACTGAACGGGTTGAAACAACGCCATGTTGTGTCACTAATAACTAAAGATAAGTCTTGGAAAAAGCGCAGCCAGAATGCTCCTCAGAGGCAAGGATGGTGAAGCTTTGTCTCACATTCCTTGGGCATGTTGCTAGGAGGGGATATTCCTTGGAAAGGGGCAGCATGCTTGGAAAGGTGAAGGGTCAGTGAAAGAGAGGAAGACCCTGAACCAGGTGGATTGACGTGGTGACCGCAGCAATGGGCTCAAGAGTGTTAGAGATGGTGAGGATGGCATAGCATTGGATAGAGTTCAGATCTGTTGTTCATAGGGTTGCTATGAGTTGTAAGCAAGTTAATGGCACCTAAGAGCAACATCAACTCAATAAATAAAGATTGAATGTACTTACGATGGTTTTAGAGTTAGAAAACAATGGAGGAGGACTATTACTAGAAACATCTATTTGTTAGAGAATAGGCCTTCCTCCAAAGAAGTGTCATTCCACATGTCTTATATTTTATCTCCTCTGCTAGATGGTATGCTTCCTGAGGTGAAGGATTAAATCATAATAATATTTTTGTATCTCCAAAAATATCCAGCACAGCATCTTACACAGACTAGACACAGAAGTGGTTTTTGAGTGAATTGACTTGGTCACTTGGAAATCTTTGTCTTGAAATAAATACAAAATACAAAACTCAAAACAACCCCAGAAAAAAAAAGAGCTTCTAAGTCTTTCTGAGCAATTGCATTTTTTCAGTTCAATAAGATGCCAACTCAGTGTACTGGCTTTGAGAAAACTTTAGAGATGTGGGCACATGGATCTGGTAACAGACACTCTCAATTCATTTCACTAGTAAACCTCAAGCAACACACTACAATGACCATTGCCAGGGTCATTTTAGGACTGTCATGTAGATGACCCTTACACATGAGTCAGCCATTCAGCATATATCTTTTGAATGTCTACTTTGTGCTAGGCACTCTTTTAGGTGGTGTGGATAATTTGAATTTAAAAATCCCTTAAACTGAGCAACAGATTTTGAACTGGTGGATTAGAATTAAGATGTAGACATATTTAGGGAATATCATTCTGCTAGGAAGAGAAATGAAGTTTTGAAAAATGTTATGATATGGATGATGCTTAAAGACATTATGCTGAGTGAAATAAGTCAATCACAAAAGGAAAAATATTTTGTCCTGGATTTTATCTATGAAGGTCTAGCTCATATAAAAAGATAAGAACAAACAGATGTACAGAGACTAAACTTTAATCTTAGTGATTACCAGCCTAAGGTGTACCAACTCACACCATGGTATTTTCAATCACTTCATATACATGTGAAAGTTGGGCAATGAATGAGGAAGAGCTGAGAAGAATAAGAACTTTGTAAGTAAACCAGTATAAAATAAAAATTTCATTAAAAAAAAAAAGGATTAAGATGTGGGTCTCCCTACCCTCCCACTTTCCCAGATAGCAAAATATTCTCTACTTGGAAAATGCAAAACAATATTTGATTAATGATCTTAAAGTATCTCAGCTACTATTAAAGGAGCTCTCCTTTCAAAACCTCTGCTCAGTGAGGCGCTGAAGCCAGTGCTGTCTCATGTCACCCTCTTGTTTGCATCTCTTCCTTCCTCTCAGCTTCGCATACTTCTAGACCTCGGGTGAGGTGGGAGGTTCTTGTTATGTCCCATCAAGTTGGAGCTGACTCATGGCTGGGCTCCCAGGGGGTTTTCGGATGCTGTAAATCACATGAAAGAAGACCATTTCCCCCATGGAACAACAGGTAGATTAGAATAATGTGCTTTTGAGTTTGCAGCACAACTTCTAATCTCTAAACCACGGGAGCTCCCCTGAGGTAGAGGAGAGAACACCACTTTATGGGCAGATAATGACTCTTGCATATTTCACAAGTGGCAATTGAAGCTCATCATTAGAAAGTCACCGCGCAGAAGATTCCTTTCTGATTAATTTATTAACAACCATCTTATTCTAGAGTCTAAGGACATACAGGGTCAGCAAGAAGAAAAATCAGACCCCTGGCATCCAAAAGGTAACGGGTTGGACAGGCTGCTGGGGCCCCGTTGGCTACAGAACAAGTGCATTGTGTTATATCAAGTGTTTATGTGAATTGTTTGTATTATGAGCACATTTTGGCTTCTTCTAATATGACCCAGTACACTGAGGACACACAAATCAAAAGCACTTCCCCACATATACGGGTTGTATGATATGACGTCCTCAAACTAATTGGAAGGTGACCGAGTGAATGCACCAAGATTATTACTATTGATGTGATCAATGAAGGCTCAGGGTGACCCCCTAACTCTTGCCCTTTGCATTGTTAGTGAGTTGGTGATATTTTGAGGCCACTACTCCCTAACTCATGCCATCCCGGGCCTATAGCCCCTAATTACTTCTAGATGGGCGTAGCATCCCTAACACAACAGGGGACAGGGGAGTATGCCAGCTGTTTCCCAGAGCAGTGGGTGACAACTGTTGACATCTTTGGCTCATCTGTTTTGCCTTCTCATATTTTGTTAGAATCATTATAAGGCACAGCCCTACATCTCTTCCTCAGATTAGACTGTGTGAGTCCCCAGTTGACTTATTCAAACTCTCCTTGCCACACGTCCAGCAGCATGGTAACTTATGCAAATCCAGTTCTCTGGAAACCATCGGTGACATGACTTGTTCTCCATCCCCCTCCACAGTCCGCCCCCTTATATAGCAGGTACCCAGGGACTCTTAAAGTTCATCACTCTCCACGACACTCCGAGAAGAGCAGGAATACACCATTGTGCTTTCCATGGAGGAGAAGGCAGAAAAGATGTCAAGTCCTTTGCTGGTGAGAGATCCGTAGCGACTGCCGCTGGGCCGGATAGACATGGGTGGTGGGATCTGCTGGTGCCACTGAGCTGGAAATGGACCAAGGAGCATGTTATGATTAAATAAATGCAGTCTGGCAGGTACCCTGGAGTTCCTGGCTGGTGCAAATGGCCAGTGTGTTCAGCTGCTAAGGGAAATGCTGAAGGTTTGAATCCACCCAGAGATGTCTCAGAAGAACGGCTTTGAGGTCTACTCCTGAAAGGCCAGCATCTGAATAGCCCGTGGTGCACAATTGTATTCTGAAACACAAGGGTTACCCTGAGTTGAAACCAACTCCATGCAGCTAGGTAGGGAGCACACAGTTGAGGTGCATCCTGTGTTCGCTCTGCCACTTTCTGTGGGACCTTGCTACAACATTTAAATCGCTCTGAATCTAAAGTGCCTCATTTGTGAAAAGAGAGCAATGAAATCTCTTCCAGGAATAGAGACATCAGACTAGTGATCTCTTAAGTTCCCTATAATTCCAAGGCCTGTGCTTCTAATTTTAGAAGAACCAGGCATGTAAGAAGGAAAAATGGTGGCAAGGCTGTTTCCTCAAGATTATTCTCTCTTGCCATCTAGTACAGGATTGCAAATTCTCGAGAGTAAGATCTCTCAGGATCTTAAGAGAGGTTGAAGAATCTCAGAAGGTGGGAACAAGGGTTCTCCCCAAGTGGAAATCAAAAGGTGGGCTTAACTTTCTGCCAATCAGTTCATATCAACCCTACCCCTACCACTACTCTCACCAGGTTCTGATGAGTTACAGGCTGGAGACTGAAAAGTACAGTCAAGTTTTGCTTTGAAAAGTACAATGAACTTTTACAGTTCAGGAATGAAATAGAACCTATTAGAGCTTCTGTGCTCACCAAGCATTGTGCAAAGGAGGCCCTATTTTTAGCACATGTGATTGTAGACTTGATGGTGTCTACGATCAAGTTGGAACGTGGCCTGCGTGAAAGACGTCTCCTGCACTGGTCTCTGATTTGCGCTTCCAAGCCATCTGCTGATTGGTCCTCCTGGACAACTTAATACAGAAAAGTGGGTGCACAAGACCAAGAACACCAGTGTCCTGAGTCCTAGAAAGCTATGGTCCCTACTGTGGACGTTCATGTTAGATTCTACTTTAGAAGTTGGTGCTCTGAAAGTTGGGAATTTGTCAGAGTCTACATGATTGGGTAACCTCAATCTTCTGAAGCTAGAAAATGAAGGCCCAATGTCCAGTGAGTCCACTAAGGAGCAGGCATGTGGCTTGTAGGGCCTGCCCTGAATAAAGTCAAGGCCTCACACCACTCTTGATCCTCCCATTTCTTTGCCTTTCCCTCTTCCCATCTTTCCTGGACTGTAATTCCTAGTACTGGAATTCCAAGAGATGTCTAATTGATCTGGGGACTCAGCTACTGGAGGGCAGGGCTGGGTTAATAGCCGTCAGTTTCAGGGTTATTGGTACTAAGGATTTTTAGAAGGAGACCTACTTGCTTCTGATGGTTGAGTGTGGGATGGAAAGGAACTTGACTGAGGTGAAGAAACCTATCACTGGTCTCCTTCTCTACCACATTCTGGGGAAAGCACATTAGTGTTAGCTTCTTTCACAGCAGAGCTTGCTAAGTCCAGAGGTAGGAAAAAACAATAAAAAAGCTATACATTTCCTAAACAAAATTGGAGCTAGGGAAAAATGAGGAGCTGAGGCTTTTCCTGTTTGGCACTACATGACAGGGGAGGTACCTTCTCCACAGATAGCGGGGACCTCAGACAGGCTCTAGAGAGAATGGTTATCACTTGTTATTCTGATTAACCATGTAATCAGTAAGGAATGACAAACACGCTGATCTGGTGAGTTATTTTAGAAAAAGAGATAAAAAAGGCAGGAGAGGAAACAAAATTGCTTTTTGGGGTTAAGAATATATCTCCAAAAATACTAATTTATGTCAAAAGTTATAGTGACGTATAGTAGAGCACACAACTACACTAACAAAGATTAACTGTGTAAAAGAATTTCAAAAGTTAGTTAGAAACATGCAGAGAAATGCAGAGCTGGGCTTGTGTCCCAGCTGGTCCCTGAGCCTTATTTCTTCAGCATTTAAAAGTGGGTAACAATTACAATCTTCTTACTGATTTGAGAAACCCAAGAGTTTCTTGTAGATTGCAAGTCATTATCTTAATGCCATTTCAGAGTATTACTTGGACAGATTTCTATTTTTAGAGAAGTCTGATTGAGGATTGGGGAATAAATCTTGTTGAGCAAATGAAAACTTGAACAGGTTCATGAAATTCATCCAAGGGGCGCAGCTCTGGGGACTTAAAGGCTCAAGTGGATGTCTGTATCCAGCAAGAGGGGAGGTGAAGTTCCTGAATCCTCCCTCCAGGGTCCGAGCACATGTAAGCACTGTTCTTACAACATGGTGAAATGTAACACCATGCAAAAGACCTGACGCGTTAGCCTGACACGACTTTAAAAATCTATCTCTTACTTTCCAAAATAGGATCTAATCAATTCACTATACCCAGGCTCACACGTGGATATTCAGCTCATGAGATGACACCTACCATATATATCCAGCCTAGCAGTGCATGACACAATGCCGGCTTCGTTCTTGGCTGACAGTGTGTACCACCCAGCATCTGATTTCTTGGCTGGCTGGATGAGGAGGCAGACATACCCTGTTGTGTCCTGGTGCATGCTGGAGAAAAGAGAGAAGACAGTGCTTAGGGGCAGAGAAGTCCTGCTCAGGGGTGGGACTTGGGGACCTCCTGACTTTCCTTTTCTTTCTCTGTCCCTAAGAGGGGAAAAGTGGCACCCAGCCCACAGGAAATATCAAAGGCAATTTATCAGCCAGGATCGAGGACCTTAGTCCACACTGTTCCTCTTGGTGGCCTGGTCACCTTACCATAGGTCCCAGCACCCTTCCGAGGTTGCCTCAATTCACTTTCAAGGCAGAGGTAACAGCTAAACCTTCTTTTATCTCAGAGGACGAACGAATATTTCTCTCCCATTGAAAACTATCACATGTTCACAGTTAACAAAATAAAGTAGTAAACCCATCATAATCTCACCACTCTTAGCACATTGGCTATTGTAACTTCCATAATGTCCTAATCCTTTGAAGCATTTCTTTAGCAAATAATTATTCAACAACCATTATGCTGTACACAACCCTGGTGCTGCTTGCTGGTGATAAAGTACAAAGGCAAATATAACAATTATCCCACCTCTAGAGAAGCCGATGTTGCAGGGTGGCACAAACAGTTAAGTGTTTGACTATTATCTTTCAGATTGGTGGTTTGAACTCACCCAGAGGCACCTTGGACCTAAGACAACGTGTAAACTCACTGTATTGTATTTATGGTTTTAATAAATTTAAAGGACAGGTGATCTGCTTCCAAAAGGTCGCAATCTTGAAAATCCCACACATTCGATTTACTCTGTACACACAGGGCTGTCACGAGTCAGAACTGACTTGATGACAGTCCATAACAAAAACAAAACCTGAAGAATTCTGAGCTTAGTGGGAGAGAAATAAAGGTTAACAAATAAAATGTGACAGAGGCCTGACCAGAATCTCAGGGAAGGTGATCTGGAAACAGTGAAGTTATTTGGAGCGGCCTCAGGCAGCAAGAGGTTGCATTAAGACACTGGATATTCAGAAGCATGGGGAGCTAAGCTCACAGTAAACACAGAGATGTGCAGAAGACCTAGTAGCTGGGATGTTATTAAATGTGGGCCTCTCGACACTTGAAATATAATCCACCAAGTTCACTCATGGGAATATTGCCAGAGAAAGAACTCACCAAGAAGGGTGGAACTCAGGTGGAGAGAAGAGCCTGGCCAGGGAACAGTGATGCAGGAGAGACTGCAGTCTATTCACCGTGGCTGGGAGTGACGGCCTGTGAGAGGCTCGCAGGAGGTGGATGGGAAGGAAAGCTGGGAGGCGTTATGAAGGACCACATGAACCCACTCCATGGTAAAAGGATGGGAGGGATGTGGGAAACTGAGGTAATAGGATCTACTCCCTTTTTAAAAAAAAATAAAATTATTTTTTACTCCCGTTTTAAAAAGATCAACCTGATCTTGGTAAGAAGTTGATTTAATAAGAATGGAGCCTGAGAGTGGAGAAACACATAAGGATGGTACTGCCACAGTATAATGATGTGAGATGCTAATAATGACATTTCATGCATTTGTTCATAATTCATTCATCATAAAAATGCCCATCAGTTAGAAGGCATTGTGCTGGGTGCTGGAAGTTAGGAAACAGAGAGAAAAAGAAGACATAGTTCCCGTGCTCAAGTAGCTTGCCATGTAAGAGAAACAGCTAAACCAACAACACTAAAAATTTAGATGAAGTGCAATGATAGTGTGTCTTCTGGAGAGTACCAGCTCAGCCCAGGGCAGAGACAGGACGGAAGTGGTGGCCTGTGCCTCCTTGTGGGGGTGAAGTTTGAGGTGAGCCTTGAGGGATAATAAATATCAGGGAGCATAGTAGTGGGTGGAGACAGGAAGACAGCTCAATTATATACCTCTTATTCTGGGCTGTTGTTGTACGTATAATGCCTACTCATATATTCCTTTTAAACAGTTCTTTCTTTCATCTGTTCCAAAGCAATGACCATTATTGCAAAGAGGACTGGAGGGTGAGGTAAGTAATTGTGCAACAATGAACGAATATTTTTTAAAAAGTCAACTCAGGGAGGAGGAAGGAAGGGAAAAGAGAGGGTAAAGTACAACAATCAATGAATGAAAATTAACTTTTTAAAAAATTTCCATTCATTCATTGTTACACTTTTCCCTCCCTGTCCCCCCACTCACCCACCCCCCAGTTAGCTTTTTTCTTTGGGGAAAAAAGTTCTTTCATTGTTATACTCCCCCCCTCTCCCCAACCACTTTACTATGCAGCTCTTATTCTGGACTCTTGTCATGCCAATAATACCTAATCATATGTTCCTTTTATACAGTTCTCTCCCTCATCTGTTTCAATGCTATGTACATTATTTATCCCCTCTTTCAGTAGTTTCCCCCCAACCACCATATCAGTTCTGTTCTGTAACAGTGGGATTATACAGTATTTGTCTTTTTGTGACTGAGATATTTCACTCAGCATAATGTCCTCCATGGTCACCCATTTTGTATAATATTTCATGAGTTCTTTGTTTTTCAGTGCTGCATAATATTACATTGTGTGAATATACCACAGTTTCTCTATCCATTCGTTTGTTGATGGGCACGTGGACTGTTTCCAAATCTTTGCTGTTGTGAACAAGGCAGCAATAAACATGGGTGTGCATATATATGCTTGGGTGGAAGTTCTGGTTTCTTTAGGGTATATTCCCAGTAGTGGAATTGCTGGGTCAAATGGAATTTCTATTTGCAACTTTTTGAGAAAGCGCCATACCACCTCCATAGTGGTTGCACCATTTTACACTCCCACCAATAGTGAATAAGGCTTGCAGTCTCTCCACAACCTCGCCAACATTTATTGCTTGCTGCTTTGTTAAATTTTGCTATTCTTACTGGGATGAGATGATACCTCATAGCTGTTTTGATTAAAATCTAACTTCTCTGTAAGTGCTCATCAAAATATCAATGAAAATAAAATTATATTTTTTATTTTTTTAAAAGCTATCTAAATGTAGAAATGCCAGGAGAAGAGGTTTATAGGTGAGAAAAAGTGCTCAAAATCACTGACAAATCAAAACCACAATGAGAAACCATCTAGCCCCAGTAGCAGTGGCAAAGTTTAACGGGACAGCAAGCAATAAATGCTGGAGAGGATATGGTGAGATAGGAACTCCTATACATTGTTGTTGGGATTGTAAAATGGTATAACTACTCTGGAAGGCAGTTTGGTATTTTCTCAAAAAAACTGAATATGGAAATTCCATTTGACCCAGCTATTCCACTGCTTGAAATGAGAAAATGAGAACTGAGGCACAAATGAGACTTGTATACTCATGCTCATAGCAGTGTTATTCATCATCGTAAAAACATGGAAACAGACCAGATGTCCAACCACAATAGGATGGATTGAAGAAATTATGGTACATTCACATGATGGAATACTATGCAGCACACAGGAGCAATGATTTTGTAAATTACTACTTAACTTGGAAGGGACTGGAGAACATTATGCTAAGTGAACTAACTCAATCCCATAAGGACAAATACTGTATAAGACCATTACTGTAGAACGTGTATGAGGATCCGAGGGAGGGAGGTTGGGAGCAGAAGGGTGAGGATGGGTGGGTGGGGTGGGGTAGTTAATCATAGGGTCTCATAATTTGATGGGAGAGTGGTGGTGAAGAAAATGGGAAAGATCCAGTGTGAAAAACAATATATTTGAACTTTGTAAGTAAACCAGTATAAAATAAAATTTTATTTTTTTAAAAAAGATATCTCAATGAAGAAATGCCAGGAGAAGAGATGTATAGGTGAGAAAAAGGAGGGGGCACTAAAACCACAAATACAATACAGTGAGTTTATATGCTGTCTGAGAGCCTTTCAGGTGTGCCCAGGCGTGTGGCTTTCCAGAAATCAGCATTAATGAATGAATAAAAGTCCAACCTTATTGTAAATTTTCATTAAAATCACAACAAAAATTAAGTAAAAAAAATAGTTCCATGTATGTACAATAAAACGACAAGTATAATTTTCACCAATGGCAAGAGCTCGTTGTTACCACCTGGAAGAGACTTTTTGGCCTCTGAGTCTTACTCTTCTCTCATTACAGGCTTCCAGTCACCTTGCATCTCCCAGGTCACAGGTGAAGAAGCTGGACTCGCATCCTGCATCCAGAGTTCAAGCCATCACCCCAGCCTCCAGAAATCATCCCTGACTGGGGAAACACGTCCCAGGCATTGAGGGTTTGCCCCCAAACTTTACATTTACATCTTTAGATCTTCATTTTACCTAATGTAATATTTCAATCTAATTTTAACACGTCCTATTAATTAGGCTCAAATGTTTCGCCAAAGGTGCTCTCTGTTCTTGCTTTAGTTTTACTAGAGAAAACTATTGAGTTCATATGTCGTTGTTGTTATTGATTTCTGTCCAGTCAAGCATGACTCATAGTGACTCTATGAACAAAAGACCTGAAGCCTTTGTAGAACTATCGTCATTTCTCAAACTTCATAGAGTTTCTAGAGGCATGTTGCTTAGGAAGTGGATACCACTACTGCTTCCAAATTGAGTTCATATAGAATTATTATATTTTGTATAAAGAATCTACTTCAGCATCCTCTGTGACAAAATCCAGTTACTGGGAGAAATAAACATCCGCAGGCATTTTTGTTGCATAAATTGTTTTTGCTTGCTTGTCTGCCCCCTTGTGGTACAAAAACAAAATGGAAAAGTTGTTGTTGCTGTGTGCCAGTTGAGTCACTTGAGACTTATAGCGACCCTATGTACAACAGCCCTAAACTCTGCTCTGTCCTGTGCCAATCGCACTGTCTCTGTCTGACACTCCCATCCCAATTATCCCAGTCACTGAATCAATCCACCTCATAGAGGGCCTTCCCCTCCTGCGCCGTCCCTCCACCCTCCCAAGCATGATGTCCTTCTCCAAGGACCAGTCTCTCCTCACAACATGTCCAAAGTATGTTAGACGGAGCCTCAGAATCCTTGCCTCCAAGGAGCCACCCGGTTTAACTCTTTCCAGGAAGAATCTGTTTTCCTAGCAGTCCATGGTACCCTAAATACTCTTCTCCAGTACCACAGCTCAAAGGCATCAATTCTCCTTCTATCCTCCTTAGGCATTGTCCAACTCTCTGATGCATAACAGGTAATTGCAAAGACCATGGCCTGTATCAGACTCACCTTAGTCTCCAGAGAGACACCATTGCTCTTCAGTACTTTGGAGAGGTCCCCAGCAGCGGACTTTCCCATGACAATACGTCTTTTAATTTCCTGGCTACTCGTGCCAAGAATGTTGACCGTGGAGCCAAGCAAACTAAAGCTGTGAACAATCTCAATCTCTTTACCATTCATCCTGATGCTGCCAGTTGGTCCAGTGGTGAGAATCTTTGTCTTCTTGACATTAAGCCTCAATACATATTGGAGGCTGCAGTCCTTGACCCTCTGCAGCAAGCGCTTCAGGTCCTTCTCAGTTTCAGCAAGCAGGGTTGTGTCATCAGCATAACGCAGATTGTTGATAGATTTTCCACCAATACTGATGCCACATTTCTCCTCATAGAGCCCAGCCTCCTAGATAATCTGTTCTGCATACAGGTTGAAAAGGTGTGGAGACAGGACCCATCCCTGGTGTATGCCCTTCCCAATTTTGAACTATGCAGTGTTTCCTTGCTTTGTTCTGGTGATATGGTCTTTGCAATGACTTGCTCTGCATCAGAGAGCTGAACAATGACTAAGGATGATAGAAGAATTGATGCCTTTGAGTTGTGGTGCTGGAAAAAAGTGTTGAATATATCATGGACTGCTAAAAGAACAAACAGGTTCATCTTAGAGAGGATGAAACGAGGCTGCTCCTTGGAGGTAAGGATTCTGAAGCTTCATCTGACATACATTGGGCATGTTGCAAGAAGGGATTGGTCCTTGGAGAGGGACGTCATGCTTGGAAGGGTGGAGGGAAAGTGCAAGAGAGAAAGGCCCTCGATGAGGCGATTGACTCAGTGACTAGGGTAGTGGGGGTAGGTGTGCTAGAGACAATGTTGGCTCAGGTTTGAGCAGGGTTCAGGTCTGTTGTACATATGGTTGCTATGACTCTCAGAGAAGTCGATGGCACATAACAACAACAACAATAATAAAGTAAAAATATAATAGGGAAGGAACAACAGTGGCGCAGTGTTTAAAGAGTTTAGCTGCTAGCCAATAGGTGGGCGGTTTGAACCTCCCAGCCACCCAGCCAGCCACTCTGTGGAAGAAAGATGTGGCAGAAGCTTCTGTAAAGATTTACAACTTTGTAAACTCTCTAGTGCAGTTCTCATATGTTCTTTTGGATTACTAAGAGTGTGTTTGGTTTGGGTTTAGGGTAAAATAAAGCAAGGCATTCACTTTTAACATTACTTAGAAAACAAACCATGTCATGATGGATGGAGAAAGAATCCAACCTACTTACTTTGTTTTCTTTTAAAAAGTTTTTTTTTACTGGAAAAAAGCTTTGATGATTAAGAGGCACCTGACTTAAGCCATGGGTTTTCCATCACCTTTATATGCATGTGGGAGTAGGATAATAGAAGAATTGGAGTATTATGTTGTTGACAAAGAGTATTGGATCTGCCACGAACTACCAGAAGAACGAACACATTTGTCCTAAAAGATGCAAGGCCAGAATGCTGCTTAGATGTCATGATGAAGAGACTTCATTATGTGTACTTTATCATGTTATCAGGAGGGGACTAGTCCTTGGAGAAGGACATTGTGCTTGGTCCTTTGAAAAAGAAGATCCTCAATGAGATGCATTGACACATTGGCTGCCACAATGGGCTCTAACACAGCAGTCACTGTCTGGATGGTTCAGGACCAAAAAGTGGCTTTTTTCCCCTTTTTTCTTTTTCAAACATGTACTGTAGAATCAGATCCGATTGGCAAAGGAGGAGCTTGCCCCTCCCTTCTCCAGCAGAGCATCTGGTGGATTTGAACTGTGCATTTTCAACATTGCAGTGCACCTTGCCACTAGGCCACTAGAGCTCACTTACTGTCTTTTCTGTTGTACAAAGGGTTGCTATGAGTCAGAACTGATTCAAGGACCCCAGTATGATAAAAGCAATATTCACAAGATAAAAGCAATATTCAGGCTCTTTTGAATTCTTAAACATACAAATGGGTATTTTTGAAATGACAAATGTTTGTACAATCAGCTGCCACACTCAGCAATTACAAAGAATAATAAACACAGTAGGGAACTCTGTTGCCCTAGTGGTAAGGCGTTACACTGCCCTTCCCAAGGAACATGGTTTGAATCCACTAGCTGCTCTGCGGGAGGAAGTTGGGAAATCTTGTCCATGTGATGTGTATTCTCTTAAAACACACTGGGAAATCAGCTGTGAGTTGGTTCTGACTGAATGGTACACAACAAAAACAAACAACAATATACACAATAACAGGGATAAAGCTCAAGTCCACAAAGCTAGGAAGCCAGAGTCAAAAGCAAGAACTATTTGGCTGGTCAAAGTATGTTTCTGCACTTGGAAGGCCGTGTGCACGGGGACGCTGTACCTGATCCTCTCTCTGGTGAATGGGATGGTCTCGTTGTCCTTCTTCCAGTAGAACACAGGTGGAGGCATGCCAATCACGCGGCACTCCAGCCTCACCGGGTGGCCCTCTGGGACGCCGCTGTTCTGCAGTTTCTCCAGGATCACAGGCGCTTTCTTCACCTCTTTAGCTGAATGAGAGAAGGGCTTTTCTTGTTAGAATTGTGATTACCTTGAGGTACATTGCTCAAATGCACCACAATTCTGGAATTGCACCAAACTGGCTCTCACATCTAGGGGGGACTCAATGCTTGTCATCCAGTTGGAACTGAACACTAGCTGACTCTCTGGAGGGTTTTCAGAGACTGTAAATTGCATGAGAGGAGATTGTTGACTCAATAAAAGTTCTCTAAATGGTTGAAAAAGCCCTGCCCATCCTAGGAAGAACATAATTTGTGGGGTTCTGTTATTCACGGGATGCAAATGGCAGTTGTGTAATTAAAACAACTTTTTAAAAAAATTGTTCAACATTAAATTCTGAGAAACTATTTTTAAAATCACTAAAATAGATCATTTTCTTTTCAGAGTCTCTTATTTTTGGAGCAGATATATATGTTACTTCTATCACTCTTAAATTTTTATTTTGAAAAATTCTGTATCTACAGAAAGGTTGAAACAGTCTGTTATTATTATTATTATTATTCTTAAAGGACAAGATTCTGCACGTTAAGAAGGCTTTTTTCTTTGGTTAGTACCAGTTATAGGGAGCCCTGGTGGCACAGTCCACAGGAAGCTGTGCTGCTAACACAAAGGTGGTGCTTCTCTGGAGATGAGAAGCCACCAGCTGCTCCACAGGAGAAAGGTGGACATTCTCCTCCTGTGCAATTTACAGCCTCTGAAAACCCTCTGGAGAATCAGCTACGAGTTACTTCAGACTCAACAACAAAAAATATGTACGTGTAGTACCATTTAAAGCAAAGAAACTTTTTCTCCCAGGATTCTAGAGTCAATAATTTAATAAAATAGTTTGAAAAAAAGGTAAAATCAATGTGTCCTATTCTACGGTAAGAAGATATGAAGCCTGAGAAAGGGAAAATGCTATCTGGTGGAGATGGCAGAGAGGACTGCCACCCTGGGTTCTTAAAGGAGCACACTTTCTCAGGGGAGAAAGTCCAGCATTAGCATTCCTGTTCTCAAATCTAACTGGCTAGACTCTCACCCTATTGAGCTGGCCCCTCCCAAGTGACTATGGTTTGCTGTAACTGTTTTGCTCACATCATCTTCTAAGATCAAGGTCCACTTGCTTAGTTATTGCTTTGACATTTGTTGAGTACCTTCCTTGTTCTAGGCCCTGGAATTTAGAGAACAAACCAGAGTTTGTCCTCAGAAGCTCATGGCCTCCTCTGGAAGGCATAGAAGAAACAATTACAAAGAGGCCTTTCCCTGGTGTTACAGAAACACTGAGGAGGACCACAGCAGTGCTGGACCCACTGTGCTTTGGTGTCAACCTTTGAGTTAGACCTTAAGAGGATGTAGGAGGTTAGCAAGCAGAAAAGGATATTCCAGACCAAGATACCATGAAGACGTAGGATCTGAGGGGGAAAAACAAGAGCTTACTGTGTTCCAGGGAACTCTGGTGTAGTAGCAGTTTATATGTTAGCATTAGGGAAGCCATTTTGTTCTGACAGCCAGTTTAAGAAATGCTTACCTCAGTAATTTTAGAATTGTATGTTTTGCTTAGATTTTGTGTCCTGGTACATGCTGACCCAGCTTGGTTACCACTCCCTGACTACATCCTGCACCTGGCCTGGGGCCTGGACACCCATGAGAAGTCAAGAAACAATTGCTCCTGAATGTGAAGAAACCTCAACTGCCAATAGCAATGAACTTTGTGTGACCCCTGTCCCCAATCTCTGCATATAAACCTGATTTTTGCTTCCCCTCGGGGTTGGAATGGTTTGAGCGTTAGCTGTACATGTTCTCATCATGTACAATAAAGAACTTCATTGATCTCCAATATTGGCTGGGTATTTAGAATCTTGCATTTCTGACACAACACTGTGGCCCACTGTTAAAGAACTGAGCTGTCAACCCAAATGCAGGCAGTTTGAATCTACCAGCTGCTTCATGGGAGTAAGATGACCTATCCCCGCCTATGAGATTTATAACCTCTGAAACGGACTGGACCACACATAAGAACAGAGGTTTCCAGTAAGAATGAACTCTAGGGCAAACAAGTATCCTAAATTTAATGACAGTCAATTAGTCAATCATTCAATTGACTTAGAATTGTTTCCATTTATTGCATGCATAATATGTACAAAGAACCACATTAAGTTTTTAGCTTATCAGTATCGCTTTGAAAATAACCTAAGAGTTGTTGGCCCTTGCTACACTGAAGTACAACTGGGACTGGGCTTGCTATTCTGTCAGAGGTTCTGCATAGGCAGGCAACAACTTTGCACAGTTAGGTTTGGGGTCCCAGCAGCCACACTTACCTACTACAGTGAGCTCCAGACTGAAGGAATTCTGCCCAGTTTTGTTGGTGGCAATGCATGTGTAGGTCCCTGCGTCCCGTTGGGTGAGCGGGTCAATGAGCAGAGAGTGGACTCCGGTCTCCCTGACCAGCATCTTGTGGGAGGCGTCTGGTAGCACAGGTTGGCCATTGAGCAGCCATGTCAGCTCCGGGGGTGGCAAGCCACTAACCTAATAAACAACCAGCAGGGTGGCTGAGACACACGATGGACTAATGACAGGCAGGTTTATATCGTGACTGGCGCTGAACAGAGAAAATATGAACTGGTGAGAAACCTTTCCATGAGGTCAGCAGAGGGTGGTCGGGGAGATCAGGTTTACGAATCATTCCTCCAGCTGAGGAAAGCCAGCTCCCTGGCTTTTTACCACCAGAGTAGGGGTACCTGTCTGCAGCTGAACTCCTACCAGCCAGAATACAAAAAAGGGGGATTGATTTAAAAGCTGATGATAGGCTTGCAGCCTCAGTTTCAAAGATGATTATTGCTCACATTCCTAGTAAGCAATTGTTTTACCAAGAGAAAGGACACTTCTTAAAGCCAGTGTTTTCAGACTAGGCTGCATATTATAACCATTGGAATTTTTTAAACCCCACAGATATTACATCAGAATTTCTGAGGCTAGAATGCAGACATCTGTATCTTTTAGAGTTTATTATGATGGAAATAACATGACCAAACCTGCATATGACTTAAGCAGCCACTGGCTGAAGAGCAAAGACCATCTCTAGAAGAGGACTCTTGATGAATGCTTAACCACAGTGTTCACTAATTTGCATCAAAATGTTCCAGAGCATTCTGCTTATTCATGTGTACCAGAAAAATGTAAATTTTTTTCCATTTTAGAAAATGTCATTTAAATCTCATATAACAACAAAACAACAACTTAAATTCATAGGTATTCACACTTTCACACTGCTCAGCTGGAGCCTGACTTCTGATGAAAGAAATGGTATGTATCGAAAAGTCAGTTAGTGTGAGAAAGCACATCTGGTCCTCATAACTGCTTTGGAGACATCTTTATATACTTTTTTCAAAAGCTAATTGCTAGGACAGCAATTCATGTAAAGATACAAACATCACACTCTTGGTTTTACAATGTAAAGACTTTCCAGGCACCATATGGAAATTGCCTGCATGATGTCACTTCCTTGGTTGTCTTTAAAAAAAATGGAATTAATATATGATGTCACGATCATTTTCATTGTGATTTTATTCTGTTGTCACTGAGTTAGTTTGGACTCATGGCCACTCATATGTTTCAGACTAGAACTGTCCCATGGGAGTTTCAAAAGTGCCTTTATTGAGAGTGAATTTGAACTGCCAACCTTTCAGCTAGAAATCAAGTGCTTTAACCATTTGTGCCACCTACAGTTAGATATGCTATTACTTGTTATGCATCAGAGAGTTGACAATGACTAAGGATAGAAGGAAAGTTGATGCCTTTGAGCTGTGGTGCTGGAGAAGAGTATTGAGGGTACCATGGACTGCTAGGAAAACAAATAGATTTGTCCTGGAAAGGGTTAAACCGGGTGGCTCCTTGGAGGCAAGGATTCTGAGGCTCCATCTAACAAACTTTGGACATGTTGTAAGGAGAGACCGGTCCTTGGAGAAGGACATCATGCTTGGGAGGGTGGAGGGACAGCGCAGGAGGGGAAGGCCCTCTATGAGGTGGACTGATTCAGTGACTGGGGTAATCCGGATGGGTGTGTCAGAGACAGTACAATTGGCACAGGACAGAGCAGGATTTAGGGCTGTTGTACATAGGGTCGCTATGAGTCGCAAGTGACTTGACGGCACATAACAACAACAACAACAGTTAGATAAAAAGACTTAACAGTGTCATGAAATACTGTCATTCTGTATTGACTGTAGTAAAAAGCTTTAGAGCATCAGAGATTGTGAGACTGGCATAAGACAGTACAGAGTTGAGATCTGCTGTTCACAGGGTCACTATACTTGATAGTACCTAACAACAATAAGGTTAAGAAAACAAAATATCGAAAATATTTTTATTTTTTAAACCCCCACCCCTACCCCCCAGGGCTTGTATATAGATTTTAAATATATATAAGGGGGAAAGGGGTGGATGGGGAGGAGTTGTGGCTGGGGCCTTGCTTTCCCTCTTCCCCCTTCCCCTGGTCCCCTAGCCCTGGGACCATTTGTTAAAAAGAATAATAAAATAATTAAAAACAAAACAAAACAAGAAAACCCCTCCCTTATTTAGAGAGAAAACATCACACAACAGAAATTAAAAAAAAATGTGAAAACAAATAACAAAAGCAACATAGAAACAGATCTGAAGCAAGGATTTTTGACTAGCGTCTACCTTACAGTCCAGCCGACAGAGGCAGCCCTCGTGAGCTACCATGTCACCAGGAGCCTGCAGGAAGTGTGGTCGGAAAAAGCGTTCCTGTAAGGGTTCTTTGTCTCGTTCTTGCACTCGGGATCTTCCCCTATAATAACAAGCACGTTCAGATATTAAACACAGAAACCAATTTATGAGAATAGGCATTTAGATAAAAAGATGAGCTGTTTTGGGAAAGTCTGCTGTCAAGGACCTCTCTAGAGTGCTAAAGAGTGATGATGTCAGTCTAGAGACTAAAGTGTGTCTCAATTGTAAGCTATGGATCTGAGAGTTGGAAAATGAATGACAGATGAAGAATTGATGTCTTTGAGCTGTGGTGCTAGAGAAGAGTATTGAACATTCCATGGACTTCCAAGAGAACCAACAGGTCTGTTCTGGAGAGGATGAAATAGGATGCTCCTTGGAAGAAAAGATTTTGGAATTCTCAATGTACTTTGGGCATGTTGCCAGGAGGGACCAGTCCTTGAGAAGGACATCATGCTTGGAAGAGCCAGCATAAGAGATGGAGACCCTGGACGAGATGGATTGACACAGTGACTGTGGCAATGGAGACAGGTGTGTAAGAGATGGTGAGGTTGGCTCAGGATAGGGCAAAACAATTGTTTATAAGGTCGCTATGAGTCATAGTCAAGTTGATGGCACATAACAACAACAACAACAAAAATAGGCCCTGAAGGGAGCCCTTGTGACCTGATCAGTAGGCATTTGTGCTGCCAATTCAATGGCTGACAGTTTGAATCCACCAGCTACACTGTGGTAGAAAGATAGGCAATCTCTTTCTATGTTATTTACAGCCTCTGAAAACCTGCTGGAAGGTCAGTTATGAGTTGGTTCTGTCTCAATGGCAATGAGTTTGAGGTTTCTGATGGGGAGTCCCTGGGGGGTGCAAATCATTAATGAGCTGGCTGCTAATTAAAAGGTTAGTGGTTTGAATTTACCCACAGGCATCTCAGAAGAAAGGGAAGCGTGATGATCAACTTCACACAAATGAACTCCCGAAAACCCTGTAGAGTACGGTTCCACTCTGACACACATGGAGTCTGCGCAAATCAAAATCTACTCGATGGTAACTGGCTTGGACTTTGGAAGAGGAGAAAAAGCCTTGCTTTGGCAGAGAATTAGAGTGACGTTGTTGCTGGACTACAAACAAATAAGTTAAGAGGGTGGAGCTGATATTTAAAAAAGCAATGTGGTAAGTATATCATATACTTTAGGATTATCTTGTGAGATCTGCAATCAAATAAACAGGCTCTCACTCCTTTCTCTCTAAAGTCATGCTTGGTTAAATGGCTCAGCACCTCTCGTTTGACCAGTTGTTCAAAAGTCTTCAAAATAAACAAATGAATAAGTATTCAGTCTGAACATCAAATAGGAGCCAAAAGAGAAGTCCTGTTTGCTACCCAGAACAAGGCAGCTGCAATCCTATGTCTCCGAGCTATAAAATTTAAACTGACAATAAATTATGGCAGGCCATTAGAGATGACCACACGTTTAAACTGGATCAAGGCTGACCAACAGTAACAGATGTTCTTATTTTTAAAAAAAAAAAAGAGGAGAAGAAGAAAGTATAGTTGCGATGGTGGCAAAATACTGTATCTGAAACATGGGTCACTATTTTTGTTCCTTGGAAAGTCACATTTCATTTATCTATGTCAGCAAGTGTGGAATGTCAGCAACTGACTCTGTGGCACCAGAAGACTCAGGAAGTCAGGCTCTTTCTCTTTAGTGGTTAATAAAATCAGTGAGGAAGAAGACCAATTGCTGTATAGAGTATAGGGTATCAAGAAAAGCAAACTTTCCCCATCTATGTAGTTATAAGCATTAATATAAATCTCTTCTATTTTCACATTATTGTTAAGGGTCATCAAGTCACCTGTGACTCATAATGACCTTATGTACAACAGCTCTGAAGGCTACCCTATCTCATTGTCTCTAGCAGATCTAATCCTATTTCTCCAGTCACTGAGTCAATCCATTTAATCCTGGGTCTTCCTCTCCTGTGCTATCTCTTCAACCTTCCAGGCATGATGTCCCTTTGCAAGGACTGGTCATGTGCCCAAAATATGTGAGATGGAGCTTCAAAATCCTTGCCTCCAGGGAGCAGTCTGGTTTCACCCTCTCTAGGACTGACCTGTTTGTTCTCCTGGCAGTCCACAATATGTTCAACACTCTTCTCCAGAACCACGACTCAAAGGCATTGATCCTTCTATTATCACATCTGGATCACATCTTGAGCATCAACTTGCCAATACACTCACTACTTTAGTGTTTATTTAGAAAAGGGGGTTTCTAATTGTCCTTACCTGTGAGACTGACCAGCAGGGGTGAGTCGACTACGGATGGGCAAACCCTGCACCATCAGGTGGCCAGAACAGCTGATTCTCCCCTGAGAAACAGAAAGCACACAAGGAGATTAAAATAAGAAGAAACTCACATTTCTTTCCCCCAATTTACTTTACTTTTTCTGAACTAGAATATTATTAATCTTTAAGCTAACCGGTCTGAGGGTTATTTTTGTGTTTTTCCACCCCCCCAAGGAATAAAAATAATAAACTGTGACTCCTTGAGTCCTTGAATATTATAATAACTTTCATTTTTAAGCTTAGGGGGGGAAAAACCCCAGAGGACAAATGTTAAAAAAAAAAATATATATAGTTACTATACATTTAAAATTATTTGTTTTCACAGGTGTTGAGAGAATGGCCAAGTATACTTCCATCTACAAAACCTGATCTTCAAAATTGACACTGCAATGTAATGAGTACCTGAGGGCTGGGATTGTGGTTCTGTACTTCCTATTTGAATAGTTGTTGACTATATCTATTCCTATTATCTCTCATGAGAATTTTAAGTCTTATCCTGACTTTCCAATATTGATTTAAAAAAAAAGAAATTAAGAGTGTGAGGGAGAGTTACAAGCCTTTATGGAATGATTTTCTTGGATTCTAAAGAACAAAACCAGCAAATCTTTCTTAGTAGAAAACATCTTCACAGGGGCCAATGAATTGCTAAATACAAGACTTAGCTTAAAAGGTTTGGGAATGGATACTACTAATGTTCTTTGGAAAAGCTGGAGTGACTCATCAGTGCCTAGTGGGCCTCTGAATTGTGATGTTGTGCCCTGGTTACACACAATCACAATGCTTCTTGTTCATTTTCCTCAGCAATCCCTAGTGACTCGCACTTGGCAAGGTTTCATTCTCAAGGACATCCCCGCTCTCTCCTCGGGGCGCTGCGCGGTGCAGAGCCCTGCCTCTCCACCTGAGGGTTGGCAGCCATGATGGTGTAGTTGCCATCGTCGTCACTGCTGGTGGACTCGATGTGCAGGGAACACGTCCCATCGCCTTCTCGCCTCATCTTACAGTGCTCATTCCTCTTAGAAATCTGCTTTCCATCTTTGAACCAGTAAACCTGAAATGAAAGATAAACAAAGAGAACGGACTGTTTTTCACATCTTCGGGGACAACATAGGAGGAAGGAGAGGGGAGTAAGAGCAAATTGCCCTCTCTACAATCAGTAGGACTTAATGAAGCACTTAAAAATGAGAAACTTTATTTACGAAGATGTTCTAATAGCTCTTGACTTGTACAATAATTAAGGCAAAAGTCCAATGAAATTTGGACGAAAGGATTTGACTACTTTTAAAAATTTTAACTTCAAGCTTCCTGAACTGGCAAATTGCAGAATCTAGAAGAGCCCAGCTTGCTTGGAAGGATGTTTTTAGATGCCAGTGAGTCAGCTATGACTCATAGCAACCCTCTGAGTAACAGATCTGAACCTTGCCCCCTCCTGCACCATCCTCATGAACTTGGATTTGCTTGAGCCCATCGTTATAGTCACTGTGTCCACCTGTCCCGTTGAAGGGCTTCCTCCCTTTCTCTGACCTTCCATACTCCCCAGGATGATGTCTTCTTCCAAGGACTGGCATCTCCTGAAAACATGCCCTGCATTGTGAGGTGAAGTTGCACTATCTTTGCGCCTGGTGGCCTGTTAGGTGCTGCTAACACAAAGGTGGTATCTTGCTGGTGGTTCTAATCCACTGGTGGTTTTCCCAGGAACCTCCTTCATGCGATTTATGGCCTCTGAAAACCCACTGGAGGGTCAGCTATGAGTCAGTTCCTCCTCCACGACAATGTGAATGAGTTTGAAAGGATAGTAAGCCTGATTTTACCAGGTAAAATCTATTCACTAAACTTCTCATTGAGCTAAAATTTAAGTGTTACTTTTCCATGTTAAAGTTTGCATATATTAAGATCTCTCAAAGGCAAAGGGGTAGAGTACTGGTAGCAGCTGCCCTCCTCTGGGCCACCTGGCTACATGCCAATGCTATGCTAAGGTTTGTGAAAGCAGAATGGAGAGATGTCCTGCCACAGCCCAGGCCAGGTGTAAAGCCTCTTCTCTGCTGGCTGCCAAAAAAATCTGGTGACTCAGAAGATTTTTTCAGCAGTCTGTGATAATAATATGACATTTCTGGAATTTACTGATCTAATAGTAATGATACAAATATAACTCACTTAGTACAACAAGAACCCTGTGGACAGGACAGCCAATAAGTAGTAAGTATAAAATAATCACTGTGAAAAATTTGATGATTAAGAAAATCCATGGCTCAAAACAAGGAACCATGACTCAGAAATTGACTGTAAATTTTTATTAAAGTTCTCACTTTACATTGCCAGCTTTACTTCGGCCTACTTAACAAATTCTATTTCTGATGATCTTCTTTTAGTCATATTGTCTGGCTTTGCTAATTTTCTGACATTGGTTTATACTCCCTCTGTAGATACTTATCGAGAATCCGATTCAACTTTCTTGAAGGTTGTCACTATCTAGACTTCTAGGCTGTTGGTTGGCCCATTGGCTGGTTCTCTTCCCTTACCTTCGGAACAGGTATCCCAACAATTTTGCAGGTGAATGTGACTGGTGAGCCTTCTGTGACCCGGAAGTGCTTGAGCCTTTTGTCAAAGATGGGAGCAATACATTTGCCCGTCGGGATTTCCTCATGCTGGATTTCATCATCTGATTCATCAACTGGAGTACGCTCCAAGCGAAACTCTATTTCATTCATCAGTCTCTGTTCAAAGCTTGAAATTTTGTATTCCTGTCAAAAGAACAAACATGTTTCAATTGCAATGACTGAGGAAGAATTTGTGAGTATAAGTTAGGAACGCAACTTCTTGAAATTCAGATGTTAGATTTATGTCAGAGAATCCCAATAAACCAGTAAGGACCATTTCCAGTTCCTCATTGTGGAGCACTAAAAAATACTGCAGTACCTTTATTTCATGTCAAACTGCCTTAATGAATACCAGTTCCTTACCTTGAGCAGGAGACCTAGTGGAATCTGGCTGACAATGGGTTATCATCTCTGTAACTACTGTTATCGTCCACTTCAATATATACAACTCCTTATTCAGTTGTTGTTGTTGTACTATGCAATTATTTCAAAAGAACTTTTGTTCTTTTTATTTTAATTATTATTTCAATGAGAGTTAACAGAAAAGTTGGATTTTTCATTCATTATTGTAGACGCTCCTCCCTCATCTGTGTTCTAATGCATACCTACATCATCATCTTCCTATCTCTGCAGGAAATTCCCATCTACGTACAGGAATACAACTTGCTTTAAATCAATCTCCTTTGTATCACATCCACTTCCACTGTATCTCTCTGATTACCTGACAAAACTAGTTGAAATAATTTTCTGTTCTTATATAGGATCATTTCCTAGTTTCTCACTAAACTACTCCAAAATTAAGCTTTATTATCAGTGTTGTAGGAAGACTCGGTGGTGCAATGTCTTACATATTGGGTTGCTAACTGAAAGGTTGGCTGTTCAAATCCACGAGCTTCTCTATGGGAGAAAGGTGAGGCAGTCTGTTCCTTACAAACCCAGTGAAGGTTCACCATGAGTTGGTCTCACTCTTCTATTAGATAGTACTGCCATCTTTCTCATTGCCCTTGAATCAGAACTGACTCACACCTGACCCTCCATCAGGTTCCTGAGGCTGTAAACTGCATGGGAGGAAATTTCCCATCTTTCTCCTGTGGAGCTGCTGGCAGATTTGAACCACCAGAGAGAGAAGGCCTTTAGGTGCGTGTGCAACTCCCTATGGACTATGCCATTATAGTTCTTTCTAGGGTCTCCAAATCATGACTTCTGACATATTAAAAAAGATCCAATCACCTATGCAAACAAGGGCAATATATGCATCATGCATTGGATTTTGATCCAAGTAGGGAACAAGCAGTGGTGCCCTGCTCAAAGGTGGTGATGAGCCTTGCTGCTTTGAATGTGTATTGTCTACCACAGGCATGCCTATCATAATTCAGTGTGTAAGAGATTTGGTTGTTGTGCACTGCATACACTGTCCTTGTTTTGATGTTTTGAACCAGTTGGAAGCCCTGCTTCAAATTCACCCGATCCAATTATCACTTACAAATTCTTACTTTACTCAACACCTCAGCATCATTTTCCTTTTTAAATATTAAATATTTTCTCTTGGTTTTCAAGATATCACATTGATTTTCCCTCAACTTTTTTACTAGCTACTTTTTTCAGCCAGTCTCCTTGTTAACTGCTACTCCTCTGTTTAATGGATCTTATCTGATCTCACAACATTAATTATCCATATACACATCTTCAAACCTAATCTTGTTTAAAACTCCAGAGTCATATAGTCAAAGAGCTACTTCACATCCAGGAGTCCCTGGCTGTTGCAAATGGTTAAGTACTTGACTACTAGCCGAAAAGTGGCTGGTTTTAAAGCCCCTTCAACCATTTGAAGCACGGAAGAAAAGTCTTAGGACTTGCTTCCAAAAGCTCATGGTCTTAAAACCTCACCTGGGCAGTTCTATTCTGCATACTTAGGGTTGCCCAGGAGCAACAAACAGCAATACTAACAACACATTGTGGCCTGGGTGGCCAACAGGCACCTCAAATTTACCTCAAAGCTATTCCTACACTATTCTTTCCCATACCAAGAATGACACCACTTAGCACACATATGATTAAGACAATGTGTCTCAAACTATTTATGGTAAAAATCTAGGTTTAAATATTTTTTCCAAAATATTTATAAAATAAGCAAAATAAAATTATAAAATAAAAGAACATAAAGTATCTTTTGGTACACAAAAATACAAGTCCCCATTAACATAGAATTTCTCCATAAAATTGCTATACAAATTTCTTGATATTTACTCCTACTTTTTGTACTTATCTCAAGAAGAAGAGTCAACAGTTTGCAGACTGGCCTAGGTCTGTGGACAATACACTAACTAAGGCCTTGTATCTAGGGATTTTCTTGCTTTTCCTATTACTATAATATTCTATCTATCAACAGTACTGTCAATTCAAAATAACTCCAAACTCATCAGCTTCATCACTGCCATCATTGCCTTAGTTCTGGGTAGTATAATTTTCACTTGAAATACTACAATTTCCTCTCAGAATACATTCATATTTTCACTCTGTCTTCCTTGAAACAAATTCTTTACTCTGAAAACAGTTGTTGTTGTTGTTGTTATGTGCCGTCGAGTCGTTTCCGACTCATAGTGACCCTATGCACAACAGCCCTAAACCCTGCTCTATCCTGCGCCAACCGCACCGCCTCTGACACACCCATCCCGATTACCCCAGTCACCGAATCAATCCATCTCATAGAGGGTCTTCCCCTCCTGCGCTGTCCCTCCACCCTCCCAAGCATGATGTCCCTCTCCAAGGACCCGTCCCTCCTGGCAACATGTCCAAAGTATGTCAGACGAAGCCCCAGAATCCTTGCCTCCAAGGAGTAGCTTGGTTTAATCCTCTCCAAGATGAATCTGTTTGTTTTCCTGGCAGTCCATGGTACATTCAGTACCCTTCTCCAGCACCACAGCTCAAGAGCATCCACTCTCCTTCTGTCCTCCCTAGTCATTGTCCAACTCTCTGATGCATAACAAGCGATTGCAAATACCATGGCCTGTATCAGGCGCACCTTAGTCTCCAGAGAGACACTGTTGCTCCTGAGTACCTTAGAGAGGTCCCTAACAGCAGACTTTCCCATCGCGATACACTTTTTGATTTCCTGACTGCTGGAGCCAAGAGTGTTGACTGTGGAGCCGAGCAAACTGAAGCTGTGAACACTATCAATCTCTTCGTCATCCATCACGACGCTGCCAATTGGTCCAGTGGCGAGAATCTTTGTCTTCTTGACATTGAGCCTCAGTCCATACTGAAGGCTGCAGTCCTTGACCCTTCGCAGCAAGTGCATGAGGTCCTCCTCAGTTTCAGCAAGCAGGGTTGTGTCATCTGCATAACGCAGATTGTTAATAGATCTTCCACCAGTCCTGATGCCACAATTCTCCTCATAGAGCCCAGCCTCTCGGGTAATCTGCTCTGCATACATGTTGAAAAGGTATGGAGACAGGATGCATCCCTGGTGTACACCCTTCCCAATTTTGAACCATGCAGTGTTACCCTGCTCTGTTCTGACTACTGCCTCTTGGTCCAAGTATAGGTTTCGTATTAGCACAATTAAATGTTCTGGGATTCCCATTCTTCTCAGAGTCAGCCACAGTTTGTTATGATCCACACAGTCAAATGCCTTTGCATAATCAATGAAACACAGATAGACATTCTTCTGGTATTCTCTGCTTTCAGCCAAGATCCATCTAACATCAGCAACAATATCCTTAGTACCACGACCCCTTCTAAACCCAGCCTGGACTTCCGGCAATTCTCTGCTGATGTGCTGTTCTAATTGTTTTTGGATGATCTTCAGTAGAATCTTGCTTGCATGTGAAATCAACGACACTGTTCTGTAGTTTCCACACTCAGTTAGACTCATGTTTAAACAATTCTTCTGCTTTAACTCCACTGGTTTCCCAATGCCCATAGAAGGAGATTGTTCTTTCCTCTGACAATTAGGCTGTGGCAGAACTCTTTGACTTCATCTTTCATATACTCCAGTAATCACAGCCTTTTGTTTCTTGAGAACATACGAGCCAATTCTAGACCTAAGGCCTTTACTCCAGCCTAGAGGCTTCCTAGAACTGACTTTTTTTTTTTTTTTTTTTTTATGCGAACACCTAATCAGAGTTGACTCAATGACATCTAAGAATAGCTACCCTCATCTTATTGACAGGTCATGTTCATTCTACTTTTACTTTAAAAAAAATAATTAATTTTAATGAAACTTTACAGTGACTTGGATTTCCATCCATTCATTCATTCATTGTTGCACTTTTCTCCCGGTTCAAGCCTCCCCCCACCTCCAGTTTGCTCTGCTCTTTGAAAAGTAAAAGAAAAAGTATTTTATTGTTATACAATCCTTCCCCCGAAGTCCACTCCACTAACACAGCCTTCATTCTGGACTCATGTCATGACAATTCCCAATCATATATCCCTTTAAAACAGTTCTCTCCCTCATCTGTTTCAATGCAGTTTTCATCATTTATTCCCTCTGTCTCAGTCTCCCCCAAACCCCGATGTCTGTCTCGTTTTTACAACAGTGGCATTAGGCAATATTTGTCCTTTTGTGACTGAGACATTTTACTCAGCACAATTTCCTCCAGGGTCACCTATTTTGTATATTTCATGTATTCCATGCAGCGTAGTATTCTATTGTGTGAATATACCACAGCTTCTCTATTCATTCATTTGTTGATGGGAACATAGGTTGTTTCCAACTCTTTGCTATTGTGAACAAAGCCGCGATAAACATGAGTGTGCATATATCTGCTTGGGTGACAGTTATGGCCTCTTTGGGGTATGTTCCCAATAGTGGAATTGCTGGGCCAAATGGTATGTCTATTTGCAACTTTTTGAGAAAGTGCAATACCACCTTCCACAGTGATTACACCATCTACTTTTGCTTTTGCTTTACCTTACCTCAATGCCCATCCCTAGTTCCTTGAAAAATATGCCTTAAACAAGCAACACTGAGTATGAGTTTACTTGCTTCAAATCACAATCATAATCCAAATCCAATTTATATCTGAATCCGAATTATTGGGCAAAAGGAGGAACTTTAAGAATAAAAGAATTGGGGGAGCTCTGGTGGCCTAGTAGCAAGAAGCTGCACTGCAATCCCAGAGGAACACGGTTCGAATCCACCA